CTTCATGGAGAAGGTGCGTGTCTAGGTTACCTGCCTGGGACACTTTGCACCTGATGGTGCTGAGACTGACTAGCGGGCTGAGGACTTCATCTACATGTTCCTGCTGCCTGTGTTGACGGTTGGGGAGAGGACACTAAGTGGTTGCCGGATCCCAATGCACTGGCAGGCTGGAGAGAACACCCTTCTGCTTTCTTAGACAAGAGGCACTGAGGAAGCACACTTCCCTGGATCCCAGGTCAGTAGAGGGACAAAATATTCTTAAAGATAAGTTTATTACTCAGTCAGCCCCAGATAGTAGAAAAAAGCTACAAAAAAATGGCTTTTGCCCCAGATAGTTCACTTGAGATGTTAATAAGAATTGACTCCTTAGTTTTTTACAGCCATGAGGACCAGGAGGCCAAGGAGAGAAAACAAAGAGAGCGAGAAAAAACAGCTGCCTTTGTTACAGCACTAAGAGAAACAGACCCTAAGTCTGATTCTCAGGGCCCCAAGGAGAACTCGTTGGCTACATTCATCTGCTTCCACTGTCAAAAGCCAGGCCACCTCAAGAGGCACTGCCCTAAGAAGCCCTGGGCCATGTCCTGAGTGTAAAGGTGACCACTAGAGGTCGGACTGCCCTCTGAAGCAAAGGCCCCAGAGCTCAGACTCCTCCTACCAGCTGGACCAACAGGAATGAAGGGGCCCAGGGCATACTCTGCCTTCTTCTTCTGGCCAGACCATTATTTTCAAGGAGGAGCCCTGTGTAATCATGACTATAGAGGAAAAAGTAAACAGCCTATTGCTGGACACTGGTGCTGGTTTCTCGGTCCTTCTTTTCAATCCTGGCCTTCCAGCTGTCACACCTCAGTGAAAAGAGTCACTGATGAGGAGGTAATCTGCTATTTTTCACAACCCTTGGGCTGTAACTACTTGTTAGATCTTTCTTGCATATCTTTGTTTTCCTGAGAAACCACTTTGAAGATACCAACATGTATTACAGCAACCATTGATAATTTCCTACCAATCTGTCCATTACTCTGTAACGTTTCTATTGCTCCTATGCTATTTCGTAAATGGATGTATGTTTATTACTATGAGTTTTCAACAACAACCATTGAGAATAGTCAATAATTATTTAATTGATCACTCATGTATAGCTCTATTTGTTTTCCCTAGAAACCAGTTTGAAGACACCAAAGTGTAGTACAACAACCATTGATAATTTCCTACCATTTTTGTCTGTAACTCACTATTATTTGTCTATTTGTTTTCCTGAGAAACTATCTTGAAGATACCAAGGGGTAAAATAACAACCATTGATAATGTCCAACCATTGATAATTGTCTGTAATTCAGTAAATCCCCCTAATACTATGTTATCCTTCTTTTACTCTTTTAAATAAATTTTAAAAAGAAAAGACAAGCTATTGAGCCTTCATGACTGAATCTGAACTGATAAGATGATCCAGTTCTCTGGGATCTTTCTGTGGCTGCATTTCAAAGTAGTAGCAGTGGTCTGTCTGTCACCATTTACATTTTCCACAGTAAATGTGAGAGGCAAGATTCTAATTACAGAAATGTCTCTTTCTACATGGCATAAAAAAAAGTATGCCAGAAGGTAAGGAAATAGAGCTCTTATGCAATCCTTAATTTATGAACGTTTGTCTTATTTCTAAATTAAACTAAATATGGAACTATATGTAACAGCAGAATTTTCTCCTAGTGACAACTACCTAGCCACTATCTTCAATATTAAATCAGGTAAATTAAAGATATAAAATATAACATTTTGTAACACTATGTAAGACCGTGGCTTTATGGAAAGAAGGAATCTATGAAACAAAATCCAAAAATGTGAACTTCAGAGTAAAAGTTTAAAATATACTAGTCTGGCAACTAAAATATCTAATTTCTGACCATCAAAGTCAATGTAAAGGAAATGGTTCATGACATTTTTAAATACATAAAGGAGTCAAAGGATAAATCAAAATAAATCAAAGAAATTCCTATAATCTACAAGAAAAGAAAGAATCACCCAGTTGAAAAGGAGAGAAAGATATCTCACAGAAATTTGAATAAGGACTGCTAAGTTATTAGATGACATTAAGAAATTATTTGGTTTGTTATGATGTTCATGGATTTTTTTCTTTCAAAATGTTATAAAAATTCAGACAAATGTGTCTGCAAGTTAAATCATTAATTTTCAGTTGCTTTAATATAAATAAAGCCATTAAGGTAGTAGAATCAAGTGTTATAAACAGATTATTAGTAATGAAGAAAAGGCATAGAATAACGTGGATTTTGCCTTCATTTTGTATATGTTTTTATTAATTAAACTTATTTTAACAAATACATAACAAAGTTTGTACAAATTAATAAGGTACCATGTTATGTTTTGATACATTTATACATTGTTTAGTGCTTAAATCAGGATAATCATATCTACCTCCTTGAATGTTCATCATTTCTTTATGGTGAGACTATTCAAAGTGATTTATTCTAACTGTTGAATCCTACAGTGTATTATTATTTATCTGCAGTCACTGTACGATTCAACAGCATACTAGGACTTTTTATTACTGCATAACCATGACTCAGTCGCCCTTGGTCTACCTCTCTCTATCTGCTCTCTGTGCTACTCTCCCCACCTTCTGGTAATCCTCATCCTATTATCAACTTCTTTGAGGTAAGTCTATTGGATTCTACACTGATTGAGATCATGCTGTACTTGTCTTTTTGTTCTTTGCTTATTTAAGTTACCATAATGATCTCTAATTCTATTCATGTTGTTGTAAATGACAGGATTTCATACTATTTTTTGGTGGTACTAGGGATTGAAACCATGACCTCACACATGAGAGGCAAACAGTCTACCACTGAACTACATCTCCATCCCGAGTTTAGACTTTTATGTTTGAGTAATACTCCACTGCACAAATGCAATACATTCTTTTTTCCATTTATCAGCTGATGGACCCTTAGGATGTTCCCACGTCTTGGCTATGTGAATAATGCTGTAATGGAAAAAGGAGTGCAGATGTGTCTTTGACAGATTGATTCATTTTATTTGGATAAACACCCAGTGAAGAGATTAGTGGATGTTATGGAAGTTCTATTTTTTAACATTTTGAGGAGCCTCCATAGTGTTTTCCATAATGGTTGTGCTAAATCACATTCCCACCACCAGCGTGTAAGATTCCTGTTCTACACACTCACCAGCATTCTTCTGTGTTGTAGCCACTACTATTAGAGTGAGGTGATAGCTCCTTGTGGTTTCAGTTTACATTTACCTTATGATTAGTGATGCTGAACATGTTTTCATGGATGTGTTGGCCAATTTTATGTCTTCTGTAGAGACATGTCTGTTTATTGCTCATTTTTTAATAAAGTTATTTGTTTTCAAACTATTGTACTTTTGGTATTCTTTATATATTTTGGATATTAGTCCCTTACCGGATATATAGCTTGCAAATATTTTCTCCTATTCTGTAGGTTGTCTTTTCACTATGATTGTTTCTTTTGCTAAGTAGAAGCATTTTAGCCTGACATAATCATACTTGTGTATTTTTGCTTTTGATTTTTGGGCTTTCAGAGGTTTCTCCAGAAATTCTTCCCCATTTTAAAGTCCTGAAACATTTCCCTTATTATTTTTATAGTTTCACATCATACATGTAATTCTGTAATCCATTTTGATTTGATTTTTGTAACTGGTAAGATATAGGGGTCTATATTCATTCTCCTTAATGTGGATATCCAGGTTTCCCAGCACCATTTACTGACAATATTATCCTTTCTCTAATAATACATGTTGTTAGCACCTTTGTTGGAATTCCACTGGCTGCAGATTAGTGGGTTTAATTCTGGGTCCTCTATATGTTTATTTTAATACTAACAGTATGTTGTCTTGATGTTTTTATTTCTGAAGATGGTTTCATTTACTAAAATAAAGGGGTACAGAAGCCAAAACAAGCTCAAGCACTTAAAATGATTTTAGTTTTAATGTAAATTTTAGCTGTCACAAGTGACCCAGTTGAGTTTGGAAATTATAAATTATTATTAGTAGTTATCTACATCTTTGTAAAATTTTCAAAATTTACTTCAGCAGTACCCAGGGGGTCTAGCTAAAGGTACAATGAAGAAGATATCTGGATCAATTTACATTTGAGTGTTAGAACAGGTTTGATCAAAGGACAAAAGTATGTGGTCAGCAGAGATTAATGCAATACAGAGTTAAATTACTGCTATGCATCTAGGTTAGGGAGGAAAGTGGCAAGTCCACTGAAGTGATTTGATTGGCTCAGAAGTCTTTAGATAACAGCAACAAAGATGAATAGAAGTTCTCAGAGGAGGAGAGTATTACTCCAACTGTTAAAGAAGGATCTCAATACAGTAGTAGAAAGTTAAAGTAGAACATTGCCACTATGCTTGGTTCTACGGTAAGCAAACAGTAGTCAAATAAAAGTTGGCCTTGAGTGCTATCCAGAAGAATCAACCTGTGAATAGGTTGGCAGTGTAGAGAAGATCCAGGTACTGGGATGCAGGAACCAGCGAGAAGGGTGGGTAGGAATCAGCAGTAAAAACAATGACAGGTGTGAAGGACTCCCAGAATAAGACTTCGAGGAGAGTAAGGGAAGATGAGCTGGTGACAGGCTGCTTTGTCTTCTGACCAAGCAATTGGAAAGAGGATGTGTTAGGTGGACTGATCTCAAAGCTTCCAGCCAGTCAGCCTCAAGTGGTACAAATGCCTTATGAGGTTAGTGATTTTGACATTTGACTTCACATTTAAAAGAATGTCACCGAGCTTTCACTTATCTTGTCTCAAATTTTCTTCTTTAGGCTGCCAGGGCAGAGAATATCTCTATTTCTAAACTACCTCATGCCATATTTGAGAATTTTAAAAAGCCACAGAAGTCTTATCACATTCCTACTACATGTACACTAACCTTGCAGGCACTACACAGGACATGAAACAAAAATGCTTCATCCTTGTCTCTGAAGGTAAAAGAATTGTGTACAGTTTACCTCAGATCTGTAGGTCTTGGAAGGAGTCTTTTTTTCCCATTAAAGTAGACTTCAAAATCTTCAGTCTTTAGTCTGTCAGCATAGTCAATGTATCCTGACACTTCTTGTCCATAAGAATTTTTGTCACGAATGAAGATCACAGACTGGGAGCATAGACAAATAGAGAATGGAGAAAAAAATGAATAAAAGGCATTTGAATTCAGTGTATACGATAATAGGAACTACATCTACCCAGGGTTAATTCACAGGTTTTAACTCATCCTTACCATGATTCTACCAATGATTCTCACAGGTGAGGAAACCTAGAGAACAGTGACTCAGTATACATGTAATATGCATTCGCAGGAACTTAACAGTACTGATAAGCAACTCTTACAGGTTTTTTTTCCCAAGGAGACACTAAATGTTTGAAATGTGCCCATCTTATTGCTTTCATTTTGGTCATCAGTTTCCACAGAAAGAAACAGAAACAGAGAGTTTGAGTTTCCCAAATTCTTAGAGTCAGTCAGTGACAAAACAGAAATTCAAACATAGCTTCGTGCATTTGTCCTTTTAAACTCTACATCCTTTTCTGCTTGAACTACCATATATTTCCTGCTATAAAGATACAAGGGGGTCCTTCTAAGAGTTTATTTTATTAGTGCATGCTTGCAGTACATGAAGTTCACTTTCATCTTAGGGAGTAGGCATGTGTAAATAATGTATCTTGATTCATTTTTTTGTTTGTTTGTTTTTTGTTTTTCTCTGGTACCGGGAACCAAACTCACGACCTTGCGCTTGCCAGGCAGGTGCTTTGCCGCTGAGCTAAATCCCCAGCCCTATCTTGATTCATTTTTATTCTTCTTCTCATCCTCACTCTCCTCCCTGCCTCAATCTCTAGAACCCCCTTCCCAATTTCCGTTATTACTGTTAAAATATTATGACCTACAGTTCACCATTTAGGACATACAATGTCTACCTCATTGTGGGTATTTACTGCATGTACATGACACATCATAAATCTTTTTACTCCCTGTCCTTGGACTCTTAGACCCTTTCCAGTTTGCAAAAGATTTACCTCCTAGTTTCCTCTTTCCAACACTGTTTTGCTTGTATTTACACTGTGCCCCACTCAAATGAGAGACACCACATGGTATTTAGGTCTTGTGTCTGATTTGTTTCACTTAATATTATATTTTTCTGTTGTATCCATTTTCCTAGGAATGGCTAAAATTATTCTTTATAGTTAAAAAGTATTCCGTTGTATATAACTACCATGTTTTCTTTACCCATCCATCTGTTGATGGACATACAGGGTGATTCCAGGATTTGACTACTGTGAATTGTGCTGCTGTAAACATGTAAACACTGGTATGAATCTATCACTGCAATGTGGTATCTTTAGCTCTCTTGGGAAGATATGTAGAAGGGAAATTTCTGGGTTAAATGGAAATTTTAATTTTAATTTTAGTTCCTTGAGAACTCTTCATACTGATTTCTATAATGGTTCTGTTAGTTTACATTCCCAGCAACAATGTAGAAGGGTTTCTTTTCCCCTGCAGCTGTATTAGCATTTATTATTTGATTTCTTCAGCATTGACATTCATTCTGGTATAAGATAAAATCACAATATTGTTTTTCATTTCTCTAATAGCCAGAATATGAAACATTTTTTCATATGTTTATTGGCCATTTGTATTTCTTCATCTTAGAAGTATCTATTCATTTCAATTGCCCATTTTTGATTGGGTCTTTTTGGTGGTCTGATTTTTTGGAGTTCTTTGTATATTCTAGATATTAGTCCTCTGTCTGTGGAATAACTGGCAAAGTGTTTGCTCATTCTGTAGGTTGTGTCTTCACTCTGCTAATTGTTTCTTCTTTATGCAGAAGCTTTTCAATTTGATATAATACTTTTGTTTATGCTTGCTGATATTTCTTGTGCAGTTATTGTTCTGTTCAAGAAGTCCTTAATTGTGCCTATTGCTTCAGGTGTTTTACCTATTTTATCTTCCAGCGGGTCCATTGTTTCTGTTTTAATATTTAGATTTTGGATCTATTTTGAGTTTAGTTTATTACACAGTGAGAGATAAGGGCCCAGCTTCAATTTTCTGCACATAATGGCTGGTTTTCCCTGCACCATTTGTTAAATAAGCTATCACTCTTTTTTATGGAAAAAATGTAAAACAAAGTTTCATACCCAAATAATAGGAGAATGACAATAGTTAATACATTACATGCTGCTCAGGGTACAAGATATGAACATAAAAATTGCTCCAATAAATATTAGCACAAACCTTCCTTTTTGCTATTGTAGACCTAGAAAACTAACATAGACAGAAATAAATTAAAATAATGAAGTAATTAGAAGAAATACAAATGACCAAATACTGAAGTTAAAAGATAAAGTTTCCTGGAATAAAAGATATGATATAAATATAAAAAAACATGAGAAGGTTGGAAGTTGATAGTTAAAGATTATATATAAGAGGAATTCAATCTAAAAGAGAACTGACACCAGTATGTTAATATTAGACAAAAAGACCTTAATACAAAAAATTTTATTAGACATAAACAGTCATTGTGTAATGATGAAAGACCCAGTTCACAGAAAGATGTAACAATTCCAAACTTAAATGTTTCAAAACATATCCTTAAACTATTTAAAGCAACAGTTGACATAAGATAGACAAACATCCCTACTGTAATAACTTCATCTGTCATTAATTTCTAGAGTGAGCATAGAATAAATGCATAAATATTTTAAAGGCATAATATTATCATATTAATATGGATTTTAAAGAATTGAAAACTCAAGCCTGAATGCTTGGTCTTTACCTTTAGTTATGTACCCAAACTTCTTTACTTTTAATGTTTTAGCGGATAAAATGACTAACGAACTAAAATTACATTTGACCATCATTTTATTATTTTTATTAATTTATGGAAAATGGCTTTCATATCAGGTAAAGGTCTCCTTCACTGGGAGTTAACATGAAAATTCAATTCCAGTCTCATGTCTCCCATCTTGTGAGAGCTAAGTGTCTGCTCTGGGCTTTTGTGAATCCTGGGGTTTTCTGATGCTGTAGAACTTAAAGTGAGGCCAAATTAAGTTTTGAGGCCCTATAAATTCACTCTATATCCTCAGTCTCTTCATTCATCTCCCATATTTATTTGCTCCATGTTCTTAAACAGACTCCTAGTAAACCAGCAAGTTTACATCATGCACAAAACAAAGCAAAACAAAAAAGCAAACCAATAATCCAAATCATGCTTGCATTTAGTTTAGCCATCCTGTATCCTCGTTTTTCCCATTTCTTCTTCGGCTCTGCAGAGAAACACAATGATCCTTTCCTTTTGTCTGTGTGTGTGTGTGTGTGTGTGTGTGTTGTGTGTGGTGTGTGTGTGTGTTTAGAGGGGGCACTGGTTAGTCCATATTCAGATATAGAGTCTTCTGTCCCAAGAACCCAATTTTTAGGCACCATGAAAGTACTTTTTCTCAATGGAAATTCTGGTAGTGAAACATTGTATCTATGATTTCTTACCAATAGGAAAAAATGCTCATCTAAAATTTCTGTATTTTAGATCTGAGAGAGATAATCATGTAGAGCCACTTTTCACATAAATTTGTGTAGGGGAAAATAAAAATTTCTTTGTTCATGTTTTTCCGAGGGTGATTACATGTGCATAAAAGTATATTTCAAAAAATTTTCTAGTGAAATAAAAATTATTTTTCCTGAAATATCTTCCTGATGAATAAAATGTTTCATAAAATTGCTTAAAAATTTGGTTAGATCTAGTGACGTGAGAATTACTGATAAACTGTCAGTGGATTGGAACTCAGTGTCTAACTTAGAAGTACATTATTATAAAGTCATAATACGGGCTTCTGAAGATAGAAGGGGTAATGGGGTAGACAGGCAACAGCTGTACAGAACTGAAGGACTGCTTGAAATCTTTTCATCTCATATATTTTGTATTTTTTACTGTGTGTAAAGATTAGAATGAGGTTAACTAACATTCTTCTTTAGTTAGTTTAATTTATATTTTCTTCCAAATGAACAGCAATTACTTCTCCTATAAATGCTACCTGTTACCATTAAAAAAAGGCCACCATATTCTGAGCCAAGTTTTAGGAGCTTTACATTCTTATATTATTCACTTTCCTAATAATTATATGATGCCTATGTCTGTGTGTCCTTAGCAAGTATACAGTGGACAGACACACCTGGATTCAGATTCTGGTTCCTTACTCTGTGATGCTGGTTAAGATCGTTACACTTCTTTTTTTAAATATAGATACATATATCTCAAAAAAAGCATAACAAAAATACCAGATTATCCTTGTGTTGAGCCAAAATAAGGTGGTGTTAAAGTAAAGGAGGAAATGGTGAAGATCTACTACAGATTTAAATGAGTGTGATAGTACCTGCACTTTTACCAAGTTTGCCCGTAACTCCACTCCCAACAGACAGACTGCTTGTAAGAAGATGAAGAAGTTCTCCGTACACAAAATGCTTTGTGTTCACATCGACCTGTACTGTTCCAAACAAAACCAGTTCTGCTCGAAGAGTGTGAATTCACAGGGACATTAAGCTTTTATTAAGCTGGAATGGAATAATCAAGTCTTTATGCCTAAAAATTCTACATGTAATAGCTCCACAAATTTGGCAAAGTTCATGCTAACATCTAGGATGTTTTCACCATATTGTAGACATAAATATGGAAATCATCATCTGACGATGAAAGAGATGGAGGGTTTAGTTTCTACCTGATAAATGACCATTCCAGTCTTTTTTGAGCCATCTTATTTGGCATTTTCTACTTGTTTGCCTACTGGACTGTCCACAACTTTTTCTTGTTCACAGTATCAGAATCGGGCATAATGTGGAAGTCACCCCCTCTGTAACCATCTAGGAGCTAGTAGATGTACTAAATAGGGTTTTTCTCCTTAGCTATGTAAAACCTTGTGCTCATGACAGGTGCTCTGCACCAAGACCATTCCCCTCAGTTTGTCTTTAGAGCCATCCTGTCTCCAATATATGCTCCAATATGCTAACAATCATTGTGTCTGCCAAGTGTGCATCATTGATTTGAGGTGTTGCAGGGGAGGACTTTGCAAGCACTCATCTTTACTAAGTTCTAGTCCATAAACAGTCACATCCAC